ATAAAAAAAATAATAAAAAAAGTAAAAAAAAAGTGACCCATCAGGTCCCATTAAAATGCTGCCCCTGCTGGGCTTGTCTGGGAAATACCCCTTCAGGGCCTGGGGAATCTGAAGGGGTCGGCTCCGAGTGCCCAGTGTGCTTCCCACCCTTGCCTTCAGAGGTGACTAGAAGCGTTCTGGCCTGTGAGGAGCCACGTGGCCAAGTGTTTGGGCATCTGTCCTTGCCACAGCCACTCTATCTGGCCTCGCCGCCTATGTCGCACGGGCTGCCTCAGCAGATCCTCCAGGCTGGATACTGCTACCAAACACCGTAATTTCCCCAAAACGGGTTGTTCACCATCAGCCTGCCCTCAGTGTTGGGGATGGAAGGCTTCCCATCGGCGAGTCCTCTGCAGTTGCCCCTGCAGCTGAGAGAGTCAGAGAACTCTCTCAGTAACGTGCCTGGCTCCTAGCTGGCTGGCCCAGGATGAACTCCTGGTCTGTCTGGATTTTTCTGTGATTCACAGTGAGGCCTCCTTAAGGAGCACCACCCAACCTGAGTTATGGATGTTGATGAGTAGCTGTGGCTTTGGGGAACAGCAGCCATGACCATGAGATGAAGTGGGGGTAGAACATGGTTCTGGGGCAAAGCCTTGAGCGGGACCTCCTTGCAGAAATTGCAGGGGTGAGGGGCTCGCTTTGACTGCTACCATCCTATGCATGGCCTAAATTGACTCCAGCTTGTCTTCCCCTGATTTCTGTGGATGGGCTTGTGATGAAACAGTTTGTCTTGGGGGGCAATTCTGATGTTGGCCCCTAAGCAAGGGCAGAAGCCTTCTGCAGATTTTCTACCTCAGTGGTACCTTCTGCGTCTCCCCCAGCCTGTCTGATTGCTCTTTCCATCTCCATCCCTCCCAGCTCAGCTGGTGTGCAGTTACTGTCTGCTCTCAGTTTCAATATGTCCTTGGTCCCAAGAGCCATGCTTTTTTTTTTCACACTAATATCTCTGCAGTTGGCACACACCTTGTCATTGAGATCTACTTTTAATGCAATGCAGCTGTGTAAATTGATGTTGCATTTTTAGAATTGATGGAAATCAAGAATCAAGGAAACACGAGAATTCGTGCCTTTGTGCAACCCATCAATCACCCACGATAAACTGTCAGGTGTTAATGCTTCTGCTGGGACCGGGACCGTAGAAATAGCTCTTCTGCAGTCCTTGAGGTCTAAAGCAGGGAGATGGCCAGCCAAATCCATAGCTCCTTGTGATAGGGATTCTGAATTTGGGAAAGGATCAGAGGAGGGAGAGGGTAGGGCGGAGGGCGAGGTAAGGTGGATGATGAAGGAGGATGGGACTTGGAGGGGTTCCGGAGTGTTGGAAGCAGGTTAGAGAGTGATGTCCCCAACAAACTGAATGGCCGCTGGAGCAAGTAAAGATTCAGAGTCACTAGTAACTAGGGTGTGTTTGGGAGCATCAAAGAGTTCATTGTGGCCAGAGTGGAGGGCCTACCTAGAGCCAGGGGTGTAAAATGACACTGTAGGAATGGGGGGGGGAACTTGACCTTGAGTGCCATGCAAATTAGTTTAATCTCTATCTGAAGTCCAAAGGTGAATCTTTGAAGGGTTTTAAAGCAAAGGGATCTACCTTATTGTGTGTTTAGGAAAACCACAGAGAAAACAACGGGAAGAAGGCAGTTGGGTGGGGCGGGAGGAGGTAGGCAAAGTGACAGCTATGAAAGAGAAGAGGAGAGTCACCATGAAGGATGTGAAAAGCCTTGTTTCACTGACTGTTCTCAGCCCAGTGGACCTGATTCCAGAAACTTGAATAGGTGCCTTTATGCAACCCATCAATCACCCACAATAAAGTGTCAGGTGTTAATGCTCTGTGCTGGGAACATGGAAATAGCTATTATGCAGTCCTTGAAGTCTAAAGTGGGTAGATGACCAGCCAAATCCATAGCTAGAGTTCCTTGTGATAGCAATTCTGAATGTGGGAAATGACCAGAGGAAGGAGGTGGGTGGGGCTGAGGCCCAGGCAAGGTGGATGATAACAGATGATGGGATGATGGGATGTGAGGGATTAAGAGAGTGCCGGTTGACCTGGTCTTGACCTCAGATTGGGGCACTTGTTTGGGGGAGCCATGTGGTCAGTAGACAGGCTGATCCACGGATGAATGCTGGAGATGCTTGAACAAAAACGTTCTGCTTACCTGTACTTGTTAAAGATGTGTGATGTCAACTCGTACTGGAACAGTCTAACTAGTACTTAGCCAAAGTACCTCACAGTTCAGAATCTTTTATAATTGGATGAGAGATCTAGTTACACAGGAAAACTACATGTATCTCAAAATGGTATGTGATACTAAGCTTTTGGAGTCAAAGAAAGCAGATAAATTGTAGTTGTGCACATGGGTTATACAACAAACATGTTGATTCTGTTGGCTAACTGGTCGACCTTTGAGAGTCATTCTGGAAGCAAGAGGTGGAGTCAGAGGGGAGAGGAGCTCTCCTGTTGTGTGCTTCTGGATATGGTGACCCCAAGACTCACAGTTCTCTTCCTCCCCGACTTCTCTAAACAGGTGCAGTGCCATACCTACACGGGGTATTGCTGGTGTGTCACCCCAGATGGGAAGCCTATCAGTGGTTCTTCTGTGCAGAACAAAACTCCTGTATGTTCAGGTACCGTAGGGAGGGGCGGGAAGCATGAAAGGGATTGGAGAGAGACTCCTTGGTTGGTCTCCTGTGGCTTGCGGGGGAACATTTGAAAGGTTAGTGGTAGCTGTGAGGTCTTCCCTGGTCAGGGAGGATGCCACAGTGACATGCCTGCTCAACAGTCAGCTAGGTGAAGAGGGTCAGTATATACCTATACATGTTTATCATTTGGAGGTTAGGTTTTTGGTTCAGTGTTCTTTTCCTAAGCATTGACTGAAACCCCCAGAGCCGGGATGGCATTTGAATTTGTAGCTTGTATGCTGATTGATTTACATTAAAGTGTTATTGGAATGGACTTTTAGACTGCATGGAAGTTCCATATCAGTGATCAAATAGTGATGGCCATCATACATGTGGAAAGGACAGGGGTGACTTCTGCCATTGATTTGCTTCCCTTGGGCAATAATATGAAGTAGAATAATGGAGAATTTTCCTATTAATGAGCATTCAATCTGGCTGCTCCTCAGAAGTACCTGGGGAGTTACAAAGGACCCAGATGTCAAGCTTCTTCTTATCTATTCTGATTCTGTAGGTCTGGAGTGAGACTTGCATCCTTATCTTTGTGACACTTCTCCTGGGGTTCTGAAATTACTGCTTGGTGGTGACCTATTGTGTTAGTCCATAGCATAAATTAAGTCATTCCTCCTCCCAACTTTATAAGCATAGAGTAATTCTGTTGCTCCGTCAATTTCATGGGATTATGGATTATGGATTTACATAAGCCCCATGCTGTCCATTTCTATTCATTGGTAGGGAACTCATGAGTCACTCTCCTAAATTCACCATGTAGTTCAGCCTCATTCGAGAAAGGCCCGTCTTACCCATTAGCTGCTTTTTGTTTCCATTGTCTGTGTATAGGTGGTTTTGTTATTTTTAATTTTATGTGCAAAAAGTATAGGAAGTTATGTTAAAATCTATGGGAAATTCCCAAAGGCAGCAGTCTTACTGTCTTAATTTTTTTTTTACAGAACTGATACACTTTTCTAGTAGCCCTTCTATAGAAAGGGAAAAGTAAGTAGAAAGGGCAGAGAGAATGCATGTTAGGAAACCAAAATTTATGTACTAGGAGGCAAGTTTATTTTATTTGTGGTTTATATGGAAACTAGAAACCTTAATTGGGGCTGAGGTAAGGAGGGACATAAATTAGCCTTCTTTGCAAATGACCTGGAAACTTTCATTTAAAACAAACAAAGGCATAGACACAAGCCATGCAGGGCAATATAACGGAATTCACACAAAACTGGCATTTGGAGAAGAGAATGATATTGATTAGGAAAACATGAATTCTCTTCCGTCTTTTGCTGGTGGGACCTCCAGAGATGCCTTTTTGTGATGAGCAGTTATGCTCTGCATGTATGGAATTGAGCTTCTTAGAAAAGACAGGTATCATGGGATTAGGCCTGGAGGATGGTACATGTGGCATCTCGTATGCGCAGGACAAATGTTTGCATAAACACACATGCTACCCCTGCTTGAGGAACAGGCTGTGTCTAGAAAATTGTTTCCATGCCTCAGACTATTTTGGCCCATTCAGTACAATTGGGCCAACAATTTTCTACTTAATGCAGATGGAAAATCACCGATTTCCTGCCCTAAACAGCAAGGGCTGTCAATCATTGCATTTTCAGTAAGAAGGGTCTCTTTTCAGTTGGTTCAGCTGACTCGATATGGTTCACACATGGAATTGGTGAGAAGTGGGGGACAGGGATGTGGATCCAAGGGGCAGGTACTGGAATGGGGAGAGATATAGATGTGGACTTCATTGAAACCTAGGTAAGACTAATGCCAAGGAAGCTGAAAATCATAGCTTCTCTCAAAACAGTGCTGAGTTATCAGTGGCACTGATGTTACGCAAACCTCACTCACTATGAATGTATGAACTAACTTTGTTTATAATATCTCTAGATGTGAGCTATCTATATGTGTTTATGCCCCTATGCTCAGCATATCCAGTTTTGCCAACTTTATGAAAGAAACCCGATGCAGTGTGTCTGAATGGCTATGTCTTTGTTTCCTTCCCACCTAAGGTTCAGTCACTGACAAGCCCTCGAGCCAGGTTAACTCAGGAAAGAAAGGTGAGTGGAGTTTTATGCTTTACCTAAATGTTTGCACCTCAAGGCAGTCCACGAAGGAGTTCTTAGACAAGATAGAAGGAGCCTGGGGTGAAAGTGGCCACAGAAGGTCGGCTTCATGCTCAGGCCGTTTCCTCCCGGGAGCCCTGGAGGTAAGGCTCAAGTGGCGGTGGCTATTGAAGGCCCAGAATTTTCAAGGGTAATGAATAAGAGGGATAGAAACCTTGATGTGAGCTCTGAGAATATTGACTTCTTCAGGAGGCCAGCTGATCAGCTACCAATGAGGCCAGCATGTGGTCAAAGAGGATGAAAAAACATGCCTGTTCATAGCTGTCTCCTTTATATTTATTTCCTCCATGTTTGTCTTTAGCTGTCTCATTTACAAACCTGTACAAGCTATTTGGGTTTTTTCCTCCTGACCGAAGCTCCTTAACCGTGTGTTCCAGTGCATCTAGACTTGCCTTACTGAGGCTGGGCTGGCTTCCTGGAGGTGTGACTATGCAGTTGTTTTCTTGAAATTCTGCATAATTTTGTCTTGGGTCTGGGGAACAGTGACACAGTACAGATGAGTGGAGAAGTGTGTGACACATGGGTTTTGGTTGCTGACCCTCATCCCCACAGTTGCACATAGCTGTCATAATGGTGCTAAGCTGTTTCGACAGCATATTTGAGTTTTAAAGTTTTCTTTACCTGGTACAATACTAAATAGGAAATTAAAAGCCATCATGCCAAATTGGAAGAAAGGGTCATGTTTTTTATCACAGTGCTTTTAATGTTGCTTTTCCCACTTTGTCTGCATGGGTCCTGAGTTTTCCTTCCATACCAGGCCCCACGAGTTAGGAAGCTGGTGTCTGTCTGGGTGCTGTACAGGGAACCAGCTGACATGAGGTGTAGCCTTGGGTTACTCTGACCACAGTGCGCAGTGTGGAAGACAGTTTGAGGCCTAAAATTCATGGCTTCTGGCTTCCCGGAGAGCACACATAGGGAGCTGCCAGCAACCTAGGAAGCAAGGATGCATTTCATTGCACATGACAGCACAGCCGAACTCCGACACAACTAGACTTAAATAAAGCTTCCTGCCTGCAAGGTCTGGACCTCAGAGATGATGCGCATGAGCTTCCACATGGGGACTTAGACCTGTTGAGGCCCAGCAGAAGTTCACAGGCTTGGCCTATACAGTTACCTAGAGACCAAGGTCAGACCAAGGTCAGGCTCTGGCCCCAGGTGCTTGTACAAGGGGATGGGCAGAAGAGGCAAAGCCACCTGCGCTGAGTGCAGGAGAACCCACTGCTCCAAGAAGATGTGGAGGCAGCAAATGGTGCTACCACCTCCCTCCCGGGGAAACATGGGTTCTTGGACAAGGTGGGCAGCCCCCTTTTGGCAGAGTGTGTAAGTAGGTTAAAAGAAGGGTGCATGCACCTCCTCAGGTCCTTCCCAGAGTGGGGGAGACACCCCTGTGTGCTGGGGTTTCATCCCAGGTGGAGAAATAGTGAGAGGGGAGAAAAGGCAGCCTCAAGATCTGAAATTGCCAGAGCTGCCAGTGCTGTGTATCTGCAGGGTTGGCAAGTGGGAGGTAGCTTCAACTGCACTTGCTATAGCTGAAATCTTCAGGTTCATCACCTTGTTTCTGGGTGTGTGGTCCTCGTGGAGGAGGGAAAAGTGGTGACACTGCAAACCTACTATTCAGATTTTGCCCCCCAGAGGAGCTGAGTGTGTAGTGCTGAAAAGAATACCTGGGCCAGGAGAGACCATCTGTGGGACTTGGGTTCTTCAACTGGACAGAGCCATGTTCTCCAGGTGGATGTGGCTTTGCACCACATGGGTAGTGGGGACAGACCCAAGGCCCCTCTGGGCCAGCCAGCTGGAAGAGGGTGGGCAGGCTGAGGGTAACATTTATAGGAAGCAGCAAGAACAGCACCTGCTGTTCCCTCTTAGGCTTAGGGCTGCTGCAGAAGGGCTGTCCCCTCCAGAGCTGACACAGGGAAGGGGTGGAACCCAGGCCCCCTCTCAGAGGGCAAGCACACTGCCTGCTCCCAGCTGTTTGCTTCCAGCTCTACGTAGGTTCCTCCCCTCACCCATAGTTCCTGCAGAGGCTTCTTCTCTGGGACAAAGGTCAGGCAAGGTGTGTGTGTGTGTGTGTGTGTGTGTGTGTGTGTGTGTGTTTGTGCATGTGTGCATGCACATGCTGGGACTCCTCTCCCCTGGAACTTCAATTCTATGGTCTCTCCCTCTCCTCAGAGGGTCAAATCAGGCACAGAATCACCTTCTCTTTGTGTGTCTTGGGAAGGGCCATGAAAAGCAGGTTCAGGCCACCTGTAGGAAGGGCCACCTGAAGTAACACCTGTCCAGGAAGCTGAGTTTGAATGGGGACAGGGTGCGAGAGAGAGGGCATTTGTAATATCCTGTGTCGACCTGCCAAGGTCCTCTTTCAGCTGCCACTTAAGAATGGAATGTGCTCCGCAGGGCAGCAGGTGGGAAGACACAAAGGCCCCTTGTCTGAGCTTGTGCCCACGTGGCTGCCCCTAGAAACATCTCCCTGGAGCTGGTGCTTACCATCTCAGGCCTGCTGCATGCTGGCCCAGGCCCTGTGAAAGTTGAGGGTCCGGCTGGAAAGGAGGCGAGGCTAGAGGTCTGTGGTGTGAGGCGGGGGCTCAGGAGGGGACCTCCATTTCTATTCTCCTACCCTCCCGCGTTTTTGAATCTGCCCCACTGACAGGCCTGGGAGGGATCGGTTCTCTTGGCCTGGAAGGAATGAAAAGCTGTATTGTGTGACGAGGGTCTGGTTGCCAGCCAGGAATCAGTCTCTAAAGAACAGGAGGAGAGAGGCAGAGTGCAAGGAGCTCACAGAGGAGGCCAGGAGAGATAGCAGGGAGGGGGAGGCAAGCGGCGGGAGGCCTGGTGGCTGTGTGGCCAGTCCCAGGTGTGGAGCCTGAGGGCAGGCGTGGAGAGGAGGGGCCGGTGTCTTCCCCACATGGGCAGGGGAGGAGGGGCAGAATTCAGCCTGTTTACTTAATCCCTTGGAATGTCCCTTCTGCTCTCTGTTTGCTGGGCCCCTTGCGCTTAACGGACTCCTTTACGGGCACATGTGTGGGAATTAACACGTGCGGGGGAGCATGGCCATGTGTTTGAGTGTCAAATATCCATTGATCTGGGGCAATCCCATGGCGGCCGCCCCTCCCCTTCTCCTCTGGTCCTTGAGGAGAGATCAGAATGGGACGTGTGGGGGGCGGCGCACACATGTGCTGCTCCGTGTTTTATTGATGTGATGGCGTGAGATCTAAAGTCAGGAGGAGGCCAGACGGCCTGGTGTGCTCCGCAAAGATGTGAAAACAGCCAAAGGCTGCACAAGGTGAGGGGGGGTGGGGAGAGAGAGAGAAAGAGAGAGAGAGACAGAGAGAGAGAGAGAGAGAGAGAGAGAGAGAGAGAGAGAGAGA